TTAGATTTTCATTTTTGGCCTTTTTTGTTGTTGTTTTGTTTTTAAGTTGCTTATTGTTTTGCTTTTTTTGTTTTATTCTTTTCTCATACATCCTGACCGCAGCAATACACTAAAATTGAACAATATGGAGAAGATTAACATGTGGTTGACATGCATTTTTGGCCTTTTTCTGGGTTCTCTTTTCCTTTAGCTGGCTCAGGAAATTTTCCCTATTTAACTTACTCTTTCAGCTAATTCATGAAGATCCATCTGCATCAGCCTCCTCAGTGCTGGGATTATAGGTGAGACCCCACAGTTGGCTAGTTAATTGTTAGTATTATGATTATTTTCTTTTGCAGTTTTTTTTTTTTGAACTCACTGATCTGCCTGCCTCTTCCTCACAAGGGCTGGAATTAAGGGCGTGTGCCACCACTGCCTAGCGAGTTAATTTTTTTTTACCTTATTTTTTCCTCCTAAACTTCAGCTTTGGTTGTCCACTTTCTGCCCATTTCTTAAGATTTTTTTTTAAATTATTTTTTATTTTATGTGCATTGGTGTTTTGCCTCTGTGTGTGTCTGTATAAGGGTGTTGGGTTGCCTGAAACTGGAGTTACAGACAGTTGTGAGCTGCCACGTGGGTGCTGGGAATTGAATCTCTTAACCACTGACTCATCTCCCCAGTCCCTATTTAAGATTTACTTCAAGAAAACGTTCAGGTTTAGATGTCTTCAGCGTTTTTATTTTAATGGGTATGTTCATGAGTTCGTGTGTGCACCAAATCACAGGAGCCCGTGGGAGCCAGAAGAGGTTAGGATTCCCTGGAACTGGAGTTTCAGACATGTGGGTGCTGAGAACAGATCCAGGTCCTCTGCAAGGGCTTAAGTACTGCTAATGGCTGACCCATCAATTTAGCCCCTAAATGTTTATTTTGCCTCCTCACCGAATCTAAAACAATCAGTACACTCCTCCTGCCAGAGTGCCCGCCCTCTCCCCCAGGGATTACAGGTTTGACCCAAGCTCTGCTCAGCCTTTTCTCTTTGCACCAGTCATGAACGACAGGACCCTCCATGGGATGCCTGCTGTCACCTTGCTCTGCTTGCTCAGATCACCCCTGGTGTGTCCCACTTCCTGGCTAACAATGAATAAACAATATCATCTAATATTCCTGGGGCGCCTGGGTGCATGCCGGCACTGTGACGTGGCAGGTTCTGTGCCGATTAAGCCAGACAGCATCTGCCCTCTTGGAGCTTGCGTTCTAGTGACAAAGACTGACCACAGAACAAGAGGGGCAGGCAGGCTGAGCAAAGCCAGGATGTGCTCCAGTCCTGGATGAGAGCACAGTATAACCAAGCAAGGGTCTATTCTGTTCCCCATGCTACAAACAGGAAGATAGTCAAGGGGTTTCCAGGCACAACAATTATCTAGTTTTGAGTTTAATTCCAGTTGTTTCTGTCCACAATTGATTATCCAATAGAATAAGGCATAGGGATGTGCACTGCCCAAGTGACTTAGAGCATCTAAGGGAGTGGTCTCCAACCTTCCTGATGCTGTGATCCTTTAACAGTTAGAGCATCTAAGGGAGCGGTGCTCAACCTTCCTGAATCTGTGATCCTTTAATACAGCTCCTCATGTTGTGGTGACACCAAACATAATGTTTTTAGTTTTTTTGTTTTCCAAGATAGGGTTTCTCTATGTAGCTTTGGAGGCTGTCCTGGAACTTGCTCCATAGACCAGGCTAGCCTTGAACTCAAGAGATCCACCTGCCTCTGCCTCCCAAGTGCTGGGATTAAAGGCATGCACTACCACCACCTGGCCCATAAAATTATTTTTGTTGTTACTTCATAACTGTAATTTTGATATTGTTATTAATCATAATGCAAATATCTGCTATACAGGATGGTCTTAGGCAACCCCTGTGAAAGGGTCATTTGACCCCCCAGAGAGGTCCCAATCTACTGCTCTAAGGGCAGTCTGACACTACAGAGGAAGAAAAGGAAAGGATCCAAAAAGGAATAGTAAGGTTTTAAGAAGGCCACTGCATGTGCTGGAGCAATGGCCCAGTGGTTAAGAGGTCTAGCTGCTTTCTCAGAAGACCAGGTTCAAATCTCAGCACTCACATGGTGGCTCAATAGTGTCTGTAACTCTAGTTCCAGGGTATAAAACACTTTCTTCTGGCCTCTAGATACATACATGCATGCAAAACACTAATACACATAAATCTAAAAAAAAAAAAAGGCTGCCACACATTACAGTATTAGATTGGACTATAGGCACCACTTGGAACTCATGATTTTTTTCATAACATAGATGAAGGGATAAAACCAGACATATGTATATGCATATATCTTTAGTTCCTGGTGCATCTGCTGGGAGGGTCTGGACACCACGAACATCCCTGGTGTCCAGATCTTACTCTTGAAGTATCAAGAAACCATTGGTCCATACAATAAAAGGAGACAGGAGTCTTGGAGAAATGGCAGCTGTGCTTTGGAGACGGTGAGTGAGCCCAGAAGTCTATGGTGCTGGAACATGAGGCTGTGAGGCTGGACACAAGGGCAGAGCTGAAGGAGCCAAGCAGGGCTGCACCATCAGCACTCTTCCTACTACAGTACAGCCAACGTATGTCATAACTGGATATATGAGGTAACAGTCTTTAGAACAGAATACTCATTAATAGATACAGATGAATAAGGACGGCAAAGTCGTCATAAGGAATACAGTAAGCACAGCAGTAAAACAGCTAAGCGAGATGAACACAACACTAAGAAAAATTCTACATATGTAACATCAAACAGCTTCAAGTATCTTCCCAGAACATTTTATCCCTTTTTAAATTTATTATTACTAAATAATGTGTGTATGGGGGCATTCATGCCACTGTATGTGTGTGGAGGTCAGGGGACAAATTTTTTAAAGATTTTATTTATTATGTATACAGTGTTCTGATGCACACCAGAAGAGGGCACCAGATTTCATTACAGATGGTTGTGAGCCACCATGTGGCTGCTGGGAATTGGACTCAGAACCTCTGGAAGAGCAGCCAGTGCTCTTAACCTCTGAGACATCTCTTCAGTACACAGAGGACAAGTTTTTTCAAGTTGGTTCTCTCCTTCCATCTTTATATGGGTTCCAGGGATTGAACTCAAATCATGAGGTTGTGCAGCAAGCTCCTTAACCTGCTGAGCCATATTACAGCCCCCTCCCCCCTTGTTTTGACAGGGTCTCACTATGTAGCTCTGGCTGGCCTGGAGCTCACTCTGCAGACCAGGCCAGTCTAGAATTCATAGAGCTCTACCAGCTTGCCTCTTTCTATTTGGAGACAGGGTTTTACTATGTAGCTTAGATTGGTCTAGAACTCACTATGCAGCAGATGGTAGCCTCAAACTTGTGACAATCCTACCTCAACTTCCCAATTGCTGGGAGTCTGGGCATAAGCCAATATATTTGGCTTGATTTCATTTCCAGAGGAAAGCTATTTATTTATATATACACTTATTTTTTAATATTTATTTATTTATTATGTATACAATATTCTGTCTGTGTGTGTCTGCAGGCCAGAAGAGGGCACCAGACTCCATTACAGATGGTTGTGAGCCACCATATGGTTGCTGGGAATTGAACTCAGAACCTTTGGAAGAGCAGGCAATGCTCTTAACCACTCTCCAGCTCCCTATATATACACTTATTTATTTCTGTGGTGTTGGGAATCAAATCCAAGCCCTAGGGTCTATTACTGAGCTACACCCCAGCCTGAAAGTTTACAATTTTACAGCAGAAAATCCTTCCACAGACAATCCTAGTCTCAAGATTACAGTTACCAGTGCAGGTGCTGGGAGCACAGGGCAGGCGGCTTCTGTGGTCACCCTGCTAAGGATGCAGACCTCAGTCTCATCGGTGACAGCAGACAAACCCAAGCTGAAGGACTGTTTAAAAACGAGCAAGGACACAGAAACTGCCTCAGGCAGACAGGAAGAAGAAATGGAAAGAAAAGGCAATGTGGGGTTTCTAGAGCTGGCGGCAGCAGTGTGCGTCTCCCGGCCCTGGTCCAGTCATTACCCACGCTGAATGACAGAGAGGCTGACTGAAAGGTGTCAGAGGGGAGGGGAGAGTTTTCTATAAGTCTAAACGATTTCAAAATAAAAAGGAGAATAAATTACTGAGGTAGAGATGAGCAGCTGCCTGAGGAGCTGGGGGAACCACCCAGAGCTAGTCACTCATGCTCTGGCCTGACCATCTTGTCCTGACATTCTTCTATGACCCTTGACACTGACTTCAGCCCCATCTCTGCACCCTGGGGGACAGAGGGCTCCACCCAAATCCTGTAGGAACCTACAGGTGGCTTCTGCCAGGTCTGTTGTATCCTGCCTGGCTGGGCTGAAACACACACGATGCCATGCTGTCCGCAGTGGACATGGCACACTGAGTTACCAGCAGGCTCATTCCTGACTCACCCGGCTGGGACAGCAGTTGAGAGACAGCACTGAGGCACACTCCACGTCCACCTACATGGAGCCTGACCCTAACCTTGCTCCCATACAGCTTTCCAGTACCTGTACTGCCAGCCTGCTGAGTTTGGTCATCAGGGACCATAGTCCCATCCCAGAGGATGGCAGGAACCACTCAGACCTATGGGTGCCCTACCCTGGCTTAGTCATAAGGCTGGACTCCAGGGCGGGCACAATAGAGAGCTACGGGCACGGGAAAGAGACAGCTGTAGACTACAGAGCCTCATGCTTGGAGCTCTTGCCTTCCTCCACCCCCATGGGTACATGATGGGAACGCGCTGCGTCAGCACAAGCAGAGGTGCACAACACCGCCTGGCCCTGTCTTCTTCCAGCCACACTTGGTTTCTGTTGCCATGCTTCTGATCTTCTGGCAACATGTTCCTGTTCTACTGACGACATGGAATGGAGTCCGCACTGAAGCGCAGACCAGGCCTTCCTGTTCCTCACTCGGAGATCACAACAGACCATGAACCTCACAACCAAGAAGGCAGGGGAGGCATGAGGGGACGGCATGTCATTTGCCATGTCACAGCAAGGGGTCTTTATTAGATGTTCAGGGTACACACAGGCAGGCAGATGCTAGATGGTGTAGCACACCTTTTCAGGGTGGAGTGGTGCCCGGATGTCCAGTTTGCGGGTCTTGCTGTCCTTATCAATGATCTCCAGACGCAGTGTGGGCGGACGCTTCTCAGCCTTGGGTGAAGGCAGGTCAGGGCTCTTGAGGAGCTGCTTGTCTGAGTCCTCCACGGTGATGCGCAGGGTGCAGCCCCCTGGCAGTAGGTCCTGCTCATAGGCTGCTGCCAGCTGGTTTACCACACGGCGCTCTACCTGCAGGTGAAGGAAGGTGATAGGGCCATCACTGCCTTAGCCTGCACCCAACCTGCAGCTTCAGCCAGGAGCTAGCCTCTATGGCTTACTGTCTGGGCAAGTCACAAACCTTAGAGCGTAGTTCTCACTTGCAAATTGAGCTTTAATGGCAACTAGCTTACCAGGAACTGCTAAAGGCTCCATGGCGTTAGTTTTCGGAGTCTCTCAGTCCAGGTCCTTCTAATGAGGATTCATACTTATTCACCCTGCTTAGAGACTAGTGTTTTGTTTTGTTTCTGAGACAGGGTTTCTCTCTGTAGCCCTGGATATCCTGGAACTTGCTCTGTAGACCAGGTTGGCCTTGAGCTCAGAGATCTGCCTGCCTCTGCCTCCCACCTGACTAGAGACTAGTCTGAATTGATCATTTTTTATTTTTAGTTCTGAAGGGCTTCTGTTCACTGTTGGTATGGATAATTCAGGGAGACCGGCTGAGCATGGAAGCCAGGGCACCAGGGGGGAAGGTGTAGAGGTTCCGTGTTTGTCTCAGGCCTCTGTGCTCACCTCATGCTTGATGGAGCGGGCGCCATAGTGGACATTGTAGCCATCAACCAACACATCTGCCACCTCGCGGTCCCACAGCAGTGTGATGTTGTGTCTCTGCTTGGCCTGAGGTGGGTCAGAGAGAGGACTGTCTGCATGTTGCCCAGTACCTTCTAGCTCTAGGCACATTGGTCCGCAGGGGCCTTGAGAGACCGTGCCCCCAGGACCACTGGCTCCAGATATCTTATCCCCACCCACAGGCAGTCAGTCCTCTCTTACTCTCTTGGCCCAGAAGTTCAGTTCCTTGTTGACCAACTGGATAAGCTCTGAGTGGCAGAAAGGGAGGAAGTAGACAATCTCATTGATCCGTCCCAGAAATTCATCTCTCCGGAAGTGAGCCTGCAGAGACAGGTAAAGGGTGGAGGCGCTCAGTGACAGTCGGGAGGTTTCTGGACCAATGGGGGGAGACAGGGACTTCCGTACTTCTAGAGTCCCAGCAGGAAGCCAAAAGAAAAACTCACTTTCAGAATGGGACGGATCACATTCTCCTTGAAGTTCTTTGAGATGGTGATCTTGTCACTCATCTGGACGTCCCCTGTGAAGACAGATCATAAAGTACTTAGCTATCACACTCAGGACCTCTGGGGCTGTGCTGGCCCCAGGGAAAAGCCTGGGCTTCTGTTGAGTGCATGTAGCCACAGTTTGAGGTCCCAGCCTTGTCCTGAGCACCTAGCTGACTTCTGAGGCCCTTTGGCTTGCAGATGCCACAAAGCACTGACTCAGGTTTGGTTGGGTTGGGGCAGAGACAGCTCTGACCTAGCAAAGAGGCCCAGGCTCTTCCAGGAGCAAGGCAGAAGCGGCCTCTCTCTGATGACATCTCCATGACCCTTGTACGTGAGGCCTCGCCCACTTCCCCAATTTCTGACCCGTTGAATATGTGTCTCCCTGGTCCCTAGGGGGGTGGGGTGGGTCTGAAGCCGTCCTGTAAACTGGTGGACCCGGGCTTTCCTGAGGGTGGGGCACTATCTCTTGTCCCCACTGCTCTCTGGGATGATGCCTACTTTCTACTCTAAGGATTTCAGTTCCATTTCTGCCCCAGATATGCCTGTGCTCAGATCACCTCCCTGGATCGCCCAGGCCACACATCATACCAAGGTTTTCGGCAATTCGATTTCGGCTCATCTCCAAAGCTTCCTGCCTCAGCTGTAGTGCATGCTGGGCAATCTCATCACTGGCTACATTGGAAGTCATGATGAAGATGGCATCCTTGCAGTCAATGGTCTTCCCCTTGCCATCTGTCAGGCGGCCCTGGGAAGGATGAAGCTGGTAGCTGGGTAGGCTCCATCAGACAGCTGTTCCCCAAGTCCCTCTGCTGCTGCCTCCCACTCTAAGCTCTCTGGGCATATGACTCACATCCTGACGGGCTTTACCAACCGAGGCCTCCAGGTGAGGTGCCCCTACTTTTGGCACCTAGCATTCCTGGCTTCCAGTGGCCAGTCTCACTCCCAGTCAAACACACTTCCTTTGGAGGCCTACTGTGTTGGAACTTTCTGAGCCTTCTCATGATCCTGGCCTAGAGGGTCAGTGAGATCAGGAAACAATCATGATGATGATGATGAAGGAAAGCCTTGGTCACTGCAGAAGTGCAGGGGAGGGCATCTTAGAGGATGATTATCAGGACCACACATGGTCATTGGTGAAGGGCAAATGGTTAGACAGCTGTTATTCCTGTCGCTAATGACATCTGCTAAAGTCAGGCAGCTCTTATTTTTACAGTGTACACTATGCACGTGTGGGTGCCAACAGAGGTCAAAAGAGGGCACTAGATCCTTTGGAGTGGGAGATACAGGTAGCTGTGAACCAGATGAAATGGCTGCTAGGAACTGAAAGGCAAGCACTCTTAGTCATTGCCTGATTGCCTGCGTATGTATGTATGTATGTATGTATCCATCCATCTAGCTATCATGTATGTATGTATGTATGTATGTATTATGTATGTATGTATCCATCCACCCACCCATCTAGCTATCATTCATGTATGTATGTATGTATGTATCCATCCACCCACCCATCTAGCTATCATTCATGTATGTATGTATGTATGCATCCATCCATCCACCCACCCATCTAGCTATCATTCATGCATGTATGTATGTATCCATCCACCCACCCATCTAGCTATCATTCATGTATGTATCATGTATGTATGTATGTATCCATCCACCCACCCATCTAGCTATCATTCATGTATGTATGTATGTATGTATGTATCCATCCATCCACCCACCCATCTAGCTATCATTCATGTATGTATGTATGTATGTATCCATCCATCCACCCACCCATCTAGCTATCATTCATGTATGTATGTATGTATGTATGTATGTATCCATCCACCCACCCATCTAGCTATCATTCATGTATGTATGTATGTATCCATCCACCCACCCATCTAGCTATCATTCATGTATGTATGTATGTATGTATGTATCCATCCACCCACCCATCTAGCTATCATTCATGTATGTATGTATGTATGTATGTATGCATCCATCCATCCACCCACCCATCTAGCTATCATTCATGTATGTATGTATGTATGTATGTATCCATCCATCCATCCACTCATCTAGCTATCATTCATGTATGTATGTATGTATCCATCCATCCACCCACCCATCTAGCTATCATTCATGTATGTATCATGTATGTATGTATGTATCCATCCATCCACCCACCCATCTATCATGTATGTATGTATGTATGCATGCATGCATGTATCTATCTATCTATCTATCTATCTATCTATCTATCTATCTATCTATCTATCTATCTATCATTTAATGACAGGGTCCCATACAGGCATGCCTAGCTTCATACTTATTATATAGTTGATGATGAACTTCAACTCCTGATGCTCCTGCCTCCATTTCCCTAGTGCTGGGGTTACAGGTGCAGACCACCATATTCAGCTATCTTTGGAGTTGTTCTCCATGCTGGCAAGGAGGAATAGATGGCGAGGTTCCTCTAAGCACTTTGGGGATTTTTTTTTTTTTTTGAATTTTCAGTTCTTTCCAGAAGTGACATTGAGGAAGCCATCTCTCTTAGAGGCAGGCACACAAAAGAACAGGAAAAGGAGCAAAGGGAAGAAATAGGAATAAAAGTACAGGGTTCTGAAAGTAGCCAGGTGAAGGGAGCAGAGGCCTGGTCATCTGTACACTAACGATGGAGAGTTGTGACAGCAGTGGCAGGGCGCACACAGGCAAGGGCACTGTCACTGCAGTGTTCTACTCATCCAGGACCCATGGGGAGAGGCCAGGCTGCTCATCACTGTCCAGGGTCAGTACCTGGCCCAGGTGTCAAGCCCATCTCTGAGGACTGGGTTCATGCACTGCTGTCCCGGACCTAGCAATAACCCAGCAGCAATTTCAATGTGAGAGACCAAAGCTCCAGGTGGGCAGGGGAGCAGGTACAGTGCACACTTAACCCAAAGGTGACTTTCAGCACTCACACCTCAGTTTTCTTGGTAATTCAGATGTGTTCCAAAGATGAAACTGTCCTTGTCCTTGTCCTGGCTGGGGTGCAAATCTCGCCCCAGGCTTATGGGCTGCCCGTCTTCCCAGCCAATAATTAGGGTTAGGATCATTATGAATCCTCAATGTCCAGGATTTTCTGGGACTTCTATGCTGGGCTATAGTGCTGTGTCCATGGGAGATAAGCCAAGTATTCAGGTGCTTTGGTAACTGCCATAGAATTCTTGATTTTCTCAGGGCAGGCTTGGGAGGACAGACCTGGTATGGTTCCAGGGACTTCCATCACCCCAAAGTCTGAACCCCGTGCCCCTAACTGCTGCGCTTGTTACTGTCCCTGGGCACAGCTCCCACCTCAGCATCCTGTCCACTCAGCTCATCATTAGCACCGCAGGCTGTGCCCTGCTGCCCTGCACAACACCTCATGAATAAAGACAAGAGCTACACTCTGGGGACTGCCTATCACTGGGGTGAGTCCTGATTCCCTCCCTGAACCTTCTCTGACTCGTACTAAGCTCACAATTTAATCCCTCACTGTTCCTGTGCCACAGAACCCTGCTGAGATGGACATGGCCTCCATTGAGGCCTCTGTTAGCCTCTGTGCTGAAGGAATCATGAATTGTAGCTTTTGGCCAGAGTGTCCCTAAATTCTGGAGTAGCTATGGGTGGTTCATATGCATCACATTCTTAACCACAGCGACTCCCCAGGTGTCCCCTTCCTACACGTGAGAGTCTCCATCTGTTGCTTGGTCCCCAGGCGTCCCCTTCCTGCACGTCAGGGTCTCTATCTGTTGCTTGGTCTGCAGATTTTCTTGCTTCAGGTCATGGCCTGGTGCTGGCCAGAAATCGGCTCATGTGGGCACCACTCTCTCCCCACAGGCAAATGTCTAGAGCTTTCTACATCCCATGGAAGCTTCTTTAGGCCAGGTGCTGTAGGTACAGATGGATTCTTTAGCACTTGTGCACACATGCCAAGGATGGAACCAGGATCTGCAGAATGTCGGGCAAGTCTGAGGCTCCTTCTAGCTGTGTGTCCTTGGCTACCTCATCTGTGCTCTCCACCTGACGGCACTGTGGCACTGTGGCGAGCTGCAGACCCCTGAGGCTTTGGGGTGTCAGCTTTCTCCTTTCAGCCCTTCTCCTCATAAGCACATGGTCGTATACATATTTAATCCTAGTACTTGGGGGGGCAAAGACAGGTGGGCCTGGGTTTGAAGCCAAGTTCCAGGACAGCCAAGACTACACTGCGGAAACCCTGTCTCAAAAACCAAACTACAGTTAGCCCACAGCGTTTGCTGCCCTGGGGGCTGGTGAAGGGCTGAAGGGCACCAGCTGAAGCCCCGCCCTCAACAAGCATAGCAGCTCCAACTGAGGGCATCACAAACTAGACTGGGCTCTGTGCTAGAGCTTCCTAATAGGCCTTTAGTGGAGCCCTGTGGCAGGACAGGGGCAGACTGGCCTTCCCATCTGGCCAGAGTGTTTGCCTTTCCCCCAGGTGTGCTGTCGTCTTCCCAGCCAGCTGTCCTGCAGAGGACGAAGGGCCAGTCACCCGAATGTACTCGGGCCTGTTGGTGGAAGGCAGTTGCAGCTGGTAGGGAGGGACATTTGGATCCTGTGACTTGGTGCCTAAATTGTTAATTGCTCTTGGAGAGTCTCTCCCTTTGCCTCATGGGGCACGGGAAGCAAAGCTGGAGGGGACCAAAGACCAAAGTGACCCCATCTGCACACGATGCCAGCTAGTACAGCTCTTAGCATCTCCTGGTAGGGCAGGGACCCTGAAATGGGTAGAGCCTGCCCTCTCAAGGAGACAGGCACAGGGTCACATGTATCCACAGAGCACCCCGTTTTCACAGAAGCTCTGTCGCTGTGCACTCACCATCTATACCTTCTCTGAACTTTGGTATTTTTGCCTGTAAAAAAATCAGCTAATTTCTTCCTAGCTGTCACAGTAACCAGCAAAGCTGTCTGTAAATCTTTACTAGAGGTACACATCAAATGCACCAAGAAAAGCAAGTTCTTGTTGGGCAGTGGTGGCGCACACCTTTAATCCCAGGAGGCAGAGGCAAAGGCAGGCTAATCTCTGTGAGTTCAAGGTCAGTCTGGTCCTTGGGAGCAAGTTCCAGGACAGGCTCCAAAGCTACAGAGAAACCCTGTTTCAAAAAAAAAAAAAAAAAAAAAAAAAAAAGGAGCAAGTTCTTATTTCTAGCTCACCCTAACTAGTGGAAGGACTGCCCAGTCTGTAAGGAGATGGGCCCTATGAACACCAGTCACACAATTTCATTACAAATAACGTGGCTGTCATTTTAAAAAAACTAGTGCAGACCCAGAAAACTGGCTCAGCAGTTAAGAGCACTGGCTACTTGTCCAAAGGACCCACGTTTGATTCCCAGAACCCACATAGTAGTACTATTTGTAACTTCTGATGCCCTCTTCTGGCCTCTGTGGGCAACACACACACGCATGCACGCACACACGCACGCACGCAATACTGCAACCTCCAACCTCCTTGTTTGTCACTGAAATCTAGAGATGAGCAGTGTCAGTTATAAAGTCAGTCAGGAGCAGGGCTAGACCTAAACTTCTTGTCTCCCTCACCCCTACCCCATGGCACCTCTGGAAGGCAGCTTGGGAGCCATGAAATCTGGTTGGTGTCCTTTCAAGTGCCTCACTTGGGCCTGCCCCGAGAGGGGATGGAGTCACACTGCCAAGTAACTAAGTATACATGGGAGGAGAGAGCAGTAAAGAGAAGATCAACCAGTCAGGCTCTGGGCCTAGGCTCCTGCTGCCTGCAACCCCCATTAATGCTGTGTCCCTACTCTTCACCTTGGCCTAGTCTGCTCTTACCTCATCAAACAGCTGCAGCATAATGGTGAGCACATCTGGATGGGCCTTGTCCACTTCATCGAAGAGGACAACTGCATTGGGGCACTGTTTCAGCTTCTTGGTCAGTTGGCCACCCTCTTCATGTCCGATGTAGCCTGGTGGAGAGCCAATAAACTTGGCTACCTGGTATAGGGCAAAAACATATTAGGAAGGTCTCTCTCTGTCTCTTTCTCTCTTTGATAGGGCTTTTCTCTATAGCCTTGGATGTCCCAGAACTTGCTCTACAGACCAGACTCTGAAGACCTAACTCGAAATCAGAGATCGGCCTGCCTCTGCCTCCTGAGTGCTGGGATTAAAGGTGTGCGCCACCACCGTCTGGCTTCTTTTTGTGTTCTTAGCCTACAATGTGTTCCCAATGTGAGAAGATGGCTGCATGCAGTATTAACAGGGCCAGTTTCCTTCAGAACAAATGTGGTGTAGAAGACATCACTGACTCCATTGCGCATGTAACCCCCATGCCCCAGGACAGATCCTAGGGCTGCTGATTTTACTGGAAGCCAAAGGCTCGACTGACAAGTCAAACAAAACACAAAAGTAGCCATGACAACAGGCCCTCTTAGCCACACTTCCCTGAGACTTTGTCTCACCTCATGTCGCTCCTGGAACTCAGACATGTCGAGTCGGATGAAGCCCTGCATGGAAAAAAGCAGGAGGTCTGTCAATGTGAGACAGGCGGCAGGGGAAGGACCCAGGCCAGAGCCCTCAACTATCCTAGGCCTTTAGGCCACAGTAGCTTGAGATGTCTGCCATCCCAAGTGCACTTTCTGTTTTTACTCACTCTCCCTCCTGACACCTTCATTTTCTACCTTAGCAAGGCAGCTCACATCTCTGCCTTCTGAAATATGGTTCACCGTGTCCTTCCCTCAGGCAGCTTCTACTGGTCTCCCCTCCCACATTCTCAGAGGGTGTTCCACACGCACTCAGAACTGATGCTCTCATCTCTGAGGAGCAGCTGAGCGGAGCCAGCAGCACCAGCGAAGATGAAGGACAGGGCTCCATAGCTCCTGGACTTTGCAAGGCTGTGGGACAGCTATTGTTTCCATTCTTCCCCCTTAGGTATCTATTATGACCCTGCAGGTCTCTTCTCTCCACCATGGGCAGGTGGCTCAGAAAGTAGCCCTTTAGGGAGAAGGCCACAGTTAGTGCCAGGAAAGAGATGCTAGGGCATGTGACCTGGCAGAGGTAGAGAAGCCCTTCCTTGTTACGGGCACCTGGCTACTGAAAACTTCTGCTCTGCTCTCCTTCCCGAACTCTTATAGAATGTACAGTACTGCTGCTCCCAGGAGCTGAGGGCACATGGCAGCAGGACACTCAGGAGACGGCATGCACAGCTGTATTCTGGCCAGGCACTCAGCAAAGTGGTCTGAGTTATCTGTCCTGTCACTGTACAGAGGTACAGGCTGGAGGGAGGTGCTTAGACCCAGCGCTGTCACTGACTGTGGTTTTAGCCCTCCAGCCAGTCTCTCCTGGGCAACACTAGGCTCTTGACTCCTCTCCTCGAGTCAGCTGGGGCCTACGAAGGAAAGGTCTTAGAAAGACTATTATTAAGGCTATGTGGGGTGGGGACTGCTCTCAGTTCATAGGGCATGAGCAACATTTCCAAGAGCATCTCATCAGCTCATTCACAGAAGCTTCTGGAAAGGTTCAGAGTGCTGACCGCGAGAGCGAAAATCTGGAAGAGAGTCATAGACACGCTTCTGATGACAACAGCTCACATCTGTTAGGCTTGCTACCTGCCCAGCAATGTCCTGAGGAAGCTACTACTTGCCTTAGAACTATAAGCCTGTGGTAAGCAGGAAACGAAGGTCAGGCAGGCTTTGCTGTTAAATTTTTAATTATGACAAGTACTGTGCTTCATTTCCTCCTCTTCCAACCAGCTGGGTTCTCAAAAGTCTTCACTTGGAAGGCTCAGAGGTTTGTGCTCAGAAGGGCTGTCCCAGGGCCCAGAAGGTCCAGAGCAGTGGTTCTCAGAAGTCTTCACTTGGAAGGCTCAGAGGTTTGTGCTCACAAGGGCTGTCCCAGGGTCCAGAAGGTCCAGAGCAGTGGTTCCTATGCCAAGGGCTCTCACCCCAGCTACTCCGGAGTCTATTTCAGAGTCTTGCTAAGCAGCTTGCACAAGTTTTTGGGCTTAATATTCTTGGCTAGAATCTTTCTGGTTACATGTGACACCCCCTGCCCCCGGGTTTCTCTGTGTAGCAGCTCTGGCTGTCCTGGAACTAGCTTTAAACTGGCCTTGAACTCACGGAAAAATGCCTGCCTCTGCCTCCTGAGTGCCGGAGACTAAAGGTGTGCGCCACCACTGCCTGTTTGGTGACATGTGACTTTAACCTGGTGCTGTGTACAGTGAGATAACAGCAACCAAGAGCTCATCCTACAGGTCCTGACTGCACCATTTGCCATCACTGTCTCAGTGATCTAATGGGCTATGGAGCATTACAGAACCTACCACATAGACACTGGTGAAACAGAGTCTCAGCCAATTCCACAGGGGAGGAGACCAAATACTAGTTCTTACCCTGTAACCATACAGACACTAACACTCAAAAGTCTTTTGGGCTCTAGTACCTGACCTTATGACGACATCACAGAACAAAGGTTCTTTCTCAAGGATTATTAACTCTGATGAGAGCTAACAAGGCTGTCCAGCCGGAGTGAATTAGTGCAGAAGCCGAGGGAAGGAAAGCCAACAAGCGCACAGTGGACCTGCTACCAATGTACAGCTACAGACAATGTCTTGTGAGGCGGTGAGGCACTAGCGTCTCTTCACAAACCAGTAAAACGAGGAGCAGAGAGGCAGGCCAGCGCTCAGTTCAGTTCATGAGCCACCTTGGGTGGCACAGGAACACAGCTCCTGCCTGTGATGACCCATGGGACACAGGGCTCAAACCTAATACTTTTTGCTTTATGGAGTGTCCAAGAGGTGCCAGGAACACTGGTTAGTCAGCTTACAGTCCAGGGTTCTCTTGGATTTTGAAGGCATGCTTCAAACATGAATGTTCCATGAGCAGACAATGTTTATGTAAACACATTCTGTAATGAGTTGGCCCAGGGGACTGCACAGATCAGGGGTTTTATAGAAGAATCATCTAGGATTTAGTAAGTGTTTGGGGGGGCTGTTAGGCACCTCATTTTCCTTTGTGAAACATTTCAACAGTTTAAATCCTCACCCCAGAGCAGCAGAGAATATGGTACTAAGAAAAGAGTGGAAGGCTGAACTCTGGGTTCACGCCTCTACTGCAGGGCTTCAGTTCTCTCAACTAAACAGCAGACCTAAGTCAGCACTGCGCTAAGCTCCTCACAGGGTCAGGGGAGCACACACAGCAGGAGGACACTGCTGGGGACAGCAGAAAGGTGACGCTCAACACAACCTTAGACACAGAGCTGGAGAGTTCTGCCTGAGAAAACAGCTGGAACTCCAGTCGAGGGTCCCTGGCTCTGGAGCTGGGTGCACCACAGCTCACTGTCAAACAGCAGGTGTAGGCAGGACACATAGGCATGTGCTGATGGAAGACACCATCCCACCTGGGGGACACCCTGAACGGGAGTAAACTCTGTCTCCTATTTAGATGTTCCGCCTAGTATCACCCGTATCACCGGTCTTCTACTAGGGCCCCTCCTTTCTACAGCAGCAAATCAGCAGATACTCTCCTATTTCCAGTGTGTATGAAGATATATTAAGACAGCATGGATAAAGAGATTATAATTTGTAATTAAATATTAACCTTTCTGATAGTATTAAAATTAAGCCACTCAGAATTCTTCATCCCTAATCAGGTGGTTCCTGCCCGTAACTGTATCTTTCCTAATCGTCTTGTAGTTTATGGCCCTTTCCAGAGTGCTAATTGTTTCAATCGCTGCCAACCTGATGAACTGTCTAAAGCTGCTGTTTCGGTTGGAGAACATCAGCATGCCACACACTTCTAGCCTGCCTGTCCAGCTAGTGGGTCTGCCAGAGGCGAAGGTTTACATTTTTCTGCTAGCTGATCCACAGGAGACGCCCACAGAGCCTGGCTCCAAGGATCCTCAGAGAGGTGGCAAGGGAGCAGGGGCCACAAGGGATAGAAGTTCAGGACTTGACTGCTGGGCTACATGGCTGGAAAGGGCCTAAGCAACCCTTCTTTGCATGTGGAGGGTGGGGAAGTGGGGAGATGTTCATGAAACCAGGCAAGCGCACTGAAGTCTTGGGCAACCTCTTGGAAAAGGGAAACTTAGACTCAATGTTGGGAAGATATTTAGCTTTCATTGAGTATTTTGTACTGTCAGCAAGGACTGATTTTTCAAAAGCACCCCTGTCACCCAAGGCCTTTAAAAGCCAGGTGTGGATAAATGGGGCTGGGAACGGCTCTTTGCTGGGGAGAGCCCATGGCTCTGGGCTACAAGAAGGAGCAGAGCGGCAGTCCCAGTTGAGGGCACAGGCTAGAGAGAGACGCGGCAGACACCACACGATCCCTACTTGTTTTCTCCAGTGCCTCCCGAGGTTCCTGTAGCACAGCCCTACCTGACTAACACTGAGCTAGCCTGAGCTCCTGCAGACAGGGCCTCAATATAATACACACTGTTAGCTTGGTATGGGCCGGGTGCTCAGCTATGTGTGGATGAAATCTCATCTATTTTTCCCAAGAGTCCTAACTCAGGCCGGCTAAGGATGGCTATTTTCATTCCACAGCTGCAGAAACTGCGGCATGAAGAGATGATTCCTGGAGCCAGTCCCGGCTACAACCGAGGCCTGTTTCTGGGGCCAGGGCCATCTCTTCAGGACAACAGTCATGAACAGCAAGGTTTCCCTGGCTTGTTGACTAGACCTTGGTCTTAATTCCTTACCTTTTTGGCATCTTTGTGCATATACTTGGCAGTCTGCTTGGCCAGTTCGGTTTTCCCTAGGAATAAGGGGATGAGGTGGATCAGGCCCAGGCAACGGTCTTCGGCATCAAAGAACACTAGGGCCAGGAGTGGTGGCTCATATCTTTGATCCCAGCACTCAGGAGGCAGAGGCAGAGGATCTACATAGTGAGCTCCAGGACAGTAAGGACTATGTAGAGAGACCCTGTCTTAAAAAGTTAAAAAGAACACTAGAAATACATGGACCCTGACAAGTACTCCTACGGATAGGGAGCTGAGATTCAGAAGCTCTCCCAAAATTGGTTACCCAGAAAATCAATGGCGAAGTTGGGACCACAACGAAAGTCTGGACTGTCTCCCAAGGGCTTTTCTCTGTAGCAGCACTCTCAGAGTGGGGACAGGCAGGAAGACTCATAAGCCACTCATCCTCTGGAGCTCAGCACAAACCGCATCTCTTCTTGGGTGCCCTGCTTATGGCCTCTTGCTCTGCATCTCTTGCACACACTCAGGATCCAGCCACTCAGCTAGATCCTGAAACCTCGAGCCAAGAAATGGCTGAGGAGGATAGAGTACTTCCCATGAGCTCCACAGATGATCTTGTGGCAAAGTGGTATCTTGGAAGGGCCATCTAGAATGATTGTAAAGCCACTCTGTGGGTACATCGGGCTTCACGATCAGGGTTATCAACTTTTTGGGATCCGAGGAGAGTCAGATCCATGAAGTTGCTGGGAGGGGAAGAGGTTGTGGTTAGACCACAAGACAGGTGGAGGAAAGGCAGAGAATTATCTCGGAGGGTATAGTCCAGTTGACTACTAGAACAGTTTTCTTGAGCCCCCCAAAGGTAAGCTGCCCCAAGTACAGATCATTTGCTAGGCAATTAAGGTGGTTCAGTTGTCCCCAAAGGGAGCCCTGGGGATGCACAGTACGTGGGCCAGGGATAACAGGACCCAGGTGCACCAAGTAAATTCACCCTTGAACCACGACAGGGGAAAGAGTAGAAATTCCAGCTCTTGGTAAATGGAACATGATTAAGAAGCCTAGGTCTTCTTTTCTTGGTAGCTCTGTAGTCTGGGCAGCTGTTTCTGGAGCTTCTCCAGCTCTTCTGCCCCAGTGGCTAGCCGATCTGCCTGCGATTACCTATTCCAGATGATCCCAAGAAGAGGAAGACCAGAGGGTGCTCCTCATCGTACCAGCCATTCTCCTTCCTCCGGATCGCTACGGCCAAACACACAACATGGGATGGGGAGGGAGACAGATAAATCAATGACACAAAAGGCAGGATAATTATCACTAAGTATACAATATGTTTTACTGCTCTGTGCCCACTCAAAGTCCTCACTACCATTAGTGCTGCCTAATCTGATTAGCTGGCAAGGTCCCTAGAGACACCTAATCAGGTTAGCATGGATTTGGAAAGCTGCCCAGAGCAGATTTCGGATAAAGTTTTCCAGGATGAGCACTCAGCGTTGCTAGGGAAACGGAGAGGCGGGTGGATGGTGAATGGAGGTGAAGGGGGTGGGGGACTGATGAAGGAGAATCTGAGAGGAATGTTAACTCTCGCTGGTCACCCCTCTATCACTTGGGGAAGTAGAGGGAAGATTTTATGGTGATGCCTCTAGGGGCCCAGGGAGGTGCAAGATTTGGGCTGTTTCCCATTTGGGGAAACCAATGTCTGCTCTGCTGTGATTTAAGAAATGGAAACAGCTAAAAGCATTTCTGGGGCCAATCAAGGGTAGTGTAGAGCTTGGGGTCCATCTCCGCTAACTCTGGAAGGCTGGGGGTGAGGAGTGGGGCAGATCTGCACTAAGTTCTTGAGGCTCTGCTTCAAGGGCTATGCATGAAAGTAAAGAAGCTGAGTCTCAGTACGGAGTGGGAGAAACAGGCTTCAGGTGGGACAAGGCAGGACCGTAATAAGAGTATTCTATTGAACACTAGGTACAACTGGAAACTTGTATTTATTCAAAACCCACAAAACACTGAAGGAAAAGTATTTTTAACTCCATTATCTGGAACAGGAAACAGAAAGATGGCTAAAGAGACTTGTTTAAGTCACACAAGAGTTTCTTCTTTCCCAAAACTTGTCTTTATTAAAAAAAAAAAATCCCAATACAGCTGCTGTAAGAAGCGAGATCGAATTTGGGTTGCACTAACAGAGACACTGATGTTAGGAGCAGGAAGAGGACACAAGAGGACAGAGCACTGTGCACCATCAGGGTCTGTCTGCAGATGGAACCGTGTGTCTGCTCTGGTCCCCAGAGTGTCGGGAAAATAAGAAAAGGACATATGTCAGAGCACAAGGCCTGGAAACTTACTCAGTGGAGAAGTCAACAGGCCTAGGGATGTGCCTGCCCATCTCGAGGAGTCAAGCTCCCCGAGTGTTATGCAGTTGAGTCTCAAAGCAGCTGCAGAAATGATGACAGATCTCGGGGGCTGACGGGATCTGCAGAGGTGGCTGGCACAAAGTGAGGAGGGCAGAGGATGATGACATGAACACAAGGGATGGGTAGGAGCCGACCGAGTCTGGACAACCTGTCTAAGGCTTTCAGGCCTGTGCTTGTCATCTTCCTCACCTTCCAGCAACAGATGGAAGCCGTGCAAACCCATGGAATCCAGACTAGCCACCTGTGCTGCCAGGAGTTGCTCCTGGAGAAGGGGCTGGGGAAACGGCCTGATTGCTCCCCTGGGCTGGCATCTGGATCTGCTCTAACTGGCTGCTTGGGACTGTCTGAAAGGCTGGTCAGAAATACTCAGAGACCTCATAGGCCTGAACTGAGGGCTATATATATATATATATGTAAAGGCAGGGCTGAGAAAAGGTCAGCATTCTCCCAAAAGCTGGCAGAGATAAGAATCTGTATTGAGAACAGAGGAAGCCCGGAGCAGGGTTAGGCTTTGTATGTCTGGGGAGGCAGAAGGACCCAGCATCACTCAGACAGGTGGTATGACCCCCTCAGGCAGGGTATCACATTTGTGAGGTTCTGCTCTTGGCTGTTCTTTTGGGGTAGCGTCCTAGCCCATTGCTGGGCTGTGCAGCACAAGAAAAAAAAAAAACTCACCATGGAGAATGTGGAATTGAATTACGCCCAGGGCCATCTTTCCCCTCCTCCCTAATAATGCACCTGGGGGAGAGCTCTTTATAATGCCAGGCAGACTCCACTGCACAGCTGTCCCTGGTCAATTCTGCCAGACCCAGGGCATGAGTTTGGGGTGGGCCTGCTCTGGGGTCCCTGTGAAACAGGCGAAATGCCAACCATTAAACAATTATAACTCTGGATATTTCTAATAATATCTGAAGAGAAAAACGGCGAAGCAGATGGAGTCCGACAGAATGAAAAATGAAGGCGGCCAGGAAAAACTGGAAAAGGCGAGAGCCCCAGGGTGTGTGTGGCTGGTTGGGTGGCTAAGGTCTAACTAAGGCTGGGGAGCCTGGAAGAGTCCTGCAACGAGGCCAGATGGAAACATCCATGTGGCCATGGTGCTGATGCTCTTTCTGTGGCTCAGCAAATGTGCAACTTACTTGGCTAGAGCTTTATAACTTATAAAAAAACCCCTGTATCAGTAATGTCACATTTCCTCACTGTGATTATATGGGGCGAGATGGGCAGGGAAGGTGATTCCTGTTTTATAGATAAGAATATATAAACACACACACACACACACACACACACACACACACACACACACACCCCTTAGGAAACCTGCTCAGGTTCATAGGAACATAATCAGAAGAGCATACACTGTGTTAGGAGCACAGCAAAGGAAGTCAGTTCTCCTAGCCCTGACTCACTCTCAAAGTGTTCTCTCTGTAGTCCTCCAATCTGCACACTCAGCCATTCAGGACACTGTCCCCCGGTCCTGTCTTTCCCACTGTTGGCTCTCTCCATAGTGCCAGGGGTGGGGGCAACTCATAAGCTCCTCCCTAATGCCCCCTTAAAAGCCCCAACTCTGCAAGTTCCAACCATGTGCTTCCGCTCTTACAGGCCATGCCAGTGCACATCTGCTTGTGTCTGTCCCTTCTAGATGTCTTTTCCTGGCTAGGGCTTTTATTGTGAGGCCACTGAAGGATGCATCTGTACCAAGTCTTCAGGTATGTATTCATTTACAGGGTGGCGTGGTAGAGATGATGAGTTAGGAGGAGCTAGCCTGGAGTCTTGTGCCTGACTCAGTAAAACACCCATTCCTTTACAGTTCCCATTTCTTCACTTCTACAGTGAAAACAGACTCATATACTGTCAGCTCTGCATGAAGAAGTGACCCAGTGGTCAGGAGAGCGGAAGAAAGGCTGCAGAGACCAGGGTGAAAGTAACAGGGCTGCAGTGGGAGCAATGGTGGCAGTCAGGGTCGGCATTTTAAATTTTTCTATTTTTTATTTCCTTTCTTATTTTTTATTTATTTATGTTTTTTGAGACAAGAGTTTCTCTGTATAGCCCTGGCTGTCTTGGAACTTGCTCTGTAGACCAGGCTTCAAACTCAAAGAGATCCACCTGCCTCTGCCTCCCAAGTGCTAGAATTAAAAGTGGGAGCCACCACGAACTGCCGTGGTGTCAGCATCTTCTTTGAGACAGGATTTCTCCGTGTAGCCCTAGCTGTCCTACAATTCGCTTTGTAGACCAGGCGAGCTTTGAACTCCTGAGTGCTGGGATTAAAGGCATGTGCCACTATGCCCAGCTAGTGTCAGCATTTTTAAATATCCTTCAACAGTATAAGAATCTCAAGACGTATGTACTGTCTCTGCCTCATACAGGAGGAAATTAAAACCAGACATGGGAAAACAATGTAAGGTGTTTTCTTCTGCTAACTGCCCTCGTATCTGGAGGAGAAAATGCCCCCACCTCAATTTGTTCTGGGGAGGTCAGTGCTAGACACTTTGATTCCTTGGGATTATTGCAACTAAGCCCTCATCGGTTTGATGGCTTAATGTTTGTTGACTAAATTAATTCTTGGTATTTCTGGGACTGTAAAAAGGAAGGCCGAGTCTCCAATTCCCATTTTATAGAGAACAGTGTGGCTGGGAGAGACTCAGTTCTGCTGGTGGTTTCTGCCACCCTGGAGAAAGGTTTCTGGTCTCTTTTTGAGCTCTTGAGGAGTCCTATGCATCCTTTCTGCAAACAAGCTTTACCATTCACTTGGCACACACTGCTGAAGGAAGCACTGTCATGAAGACTGAGGGTTCTGGATGGGACGGTGTGCCGGGAGTATGGTGGAGCACCTGTGACCGGATGGGACGGTGTGCCGGGAGTATGGCGGAGCATCCATGACTGGATGGCATTCATACTTGAGCATGAGGTAGAATAGGACATTCTAAGAAGGCTCTGATGTGTGAAAAAGCAAAGAGAAGAAAGAGCTGCCTCCTCTCAGCCCAGGATTCTGCTTCCATTCAACTGAAGGTTCTGGGGCAACCTGGCTAGCTGACTCATATTTCCTGATAATTCTTTTTATTTTTAAATTTATTTATTTTTTTGAGACAGGGTTTCTCTGTGTATCTCTGGCTGTCCTGGAACTCACTCTGTAGACCAGGCTGGCCTTTAACTCATAGAGATCAGCCTGCCCCTGCCCCCTTGAGTGCTGGGATTAAAGGCATGCGGTACTATCGCTTGGCTTAAATTTATTTTTATTTATGTGTGTATGCCATGTAGGCAAGTAGCTGAAGGCCAGAAGAGGGTGTCAGACCCCTGAAGTTGGAATTACAGGCAGTTGTGAGCCACCCAATGTGGATACTGAGAACTGAACTCAGGTCCTCTGTAAGAGCAGCCAGTGATCTTAACTGGCGAGTCATTTCTCCAGCCCCTCTGGATAAGTTCTTAGGTCTCATGTGAGAGGATTTCCAAAGTAACCGAGAACACAGCTGTTCCTTGCTGTGGCATCTCCTGTGGAACCAGCTCTTCAGAGATGCTCGTGGCTCAGAGTCACCCTCGTGTCTACAAGCGGTATCAACACGGGCTCTGTCTTCATTCACCTTTGTACAGCTGTGACCCAACCCCGGGAAACAGCTGACACAGGTGGTAGGTCCTGATCTCTGAGAAGGAGACAGCAAACCATCAAAGTGACGACAGCTGTTCTCAGGAAGCCCAGGGAAAGCTGAAAGGCATTGCCAGGGAAGGGTATGTGGTCAGGCCCGAGGTGCATGTGCAGATGTGCACTGCAGATGTGCTGTGGGTGCACGGAGTTGCACGTGGGAGTGCGGGGAACGCCGAGGCTCTGCTGGGACCTGGGGGAATGTCCCTATACAGACACAGTTCTGAAGCTGCCAGGTATCTGCAGGCTGACCTGCTGCCCACTCTGGAGGTCAAAGGCCAAAGAGGATCACTGTAACTAACAACCTTATGAGTGTTCCCTCCAGTATGCCTGTGAGCTGCTAGAGGGCAGGGCTGTTGCTTCTCTTCTCTCCTCAGAGTAGTTGACAGGGGCACAAAGGGCCACAGCACATAAGTGAATTTCATACACCGCTTTAGCACCTCCTTTGAGTGGGAATGGATAACACAACACGTCCTGGTCTCCTCTTACAGAGCCTGAAGTATACTGCTACCCAACGGTTAGTCACTGTGTAGGGCTGGCCCGGACCCCAGGTGGCAGAAGGTCAGAGGAGGAACTTCAGGCAGAGAGGGCAGCATGACAGACTCAGAAAGGAAAGCAAAGGCAGGGTGCTGTGGCCGGTGGGGGCTGCGGGCAGAGGCAGCGATGGAGGGGGCAGCAGCACCAGTGGTGGGTCCCCTGTGCCACATTAGGACAGTAAGGACACTCACAGGCTGCAGCACGGGAGTGCTGTTCAGATACGTGTTCTCTAAAGGTCACTCTGGTCCAGCAGGAACACCAGGGGAAGGAGAGGAGGCCACTGCATGGCCAGATCAGAGCATCACGATGTGATGGTTCACACTGTCAACTTGACAGGTTCTAGATTCACCTAGGTGACAAGCCTCTGGGCATGCCTCGGGATTTTTCTAGATTAGGTTAACTGTGGTGGTGGTGGAAGCATTTCACAGGCAGGGTCTCAGACTTAGTAACAAGGAAAGTGAACTAAGCACCAGCAATAGCTGCTTGCTCTGTTACCAACCGCCTGAAGCTCCTGTCACCATGGTTTGCCTGATATTATGGACTGTATTCTTGAACTGGCCTCGAACTCACAGAGATCCGCCTGTCTCTGTCTCCCAAGTGCTGCTATAAAAGGCATGTGCCACCACCGACCCTCTATGTTTGCTTCTTGTTAGGTATTTTATCACAGCAGTGAAATCAGTAAAAATTGTACAGGATAAGAAAGAGAGGTTAGGTCTGAGAACCATGGAGAGAAGGGAGGTGGAGCCAAGGAAATATTCTAAGAGGCTAGTGACTGGAGGCCTAGTTCTGGTATGCTCAGCAGACAGCCTTTCTGAGGAGAGCGGGGCTGGTGCTGAGCTCCCAGGAAGTCTGCCATCTTCTATCACTTGACTGGGTTCTGGAAGGAGAAGCTCACTTTCCATGCCCATGTTGTAGTCTGTGTGACCTCATGGAACTGGTGACCCTAACAGACAAGAGCAGCCTTGGGGGCCTGGTTTGCAGGACTGGTACTTTAGCTCCTCCATTTGTAAGGCAGTAACTGTGCGCCAGCCTTGCTAGAAGCCCCGCAGCTGGGGATCACACTGATAAATTCACTGTATTACTTTGCACAAATCAATATCCCAGCACTTACCAGGGGTTGATGTGACCGAAATTGGTTTCAGCCAATTCGTGAGGGTAATAAATGGCCATTTATCAAATCAATTCATTCTGTAGGACTTCTCTGGCTGCCCATTCTCATGGTACCCATGGGGTGCCAGGCTCTGTGTCCATCCAGATGGTCCTAAACACACACACGACACTAGCTTGGAGAATCCAGAAATGCCTAAATGTCCTCTACATCTGCCCACGCTCCTATGCCTGCTGGGGTTCTGAGGTGCCAGAGTCCTGGGTAAAAAGTGTCTCATGCTTGACCAGGCTTGCAGCTACAGCCGTTAGGCTGCTCACTCCTTCTTCCAGGAATCCAGAAGCTTCTAGGATCTGGTCACAGGAATGAACATGGGGTAGGACATCCTCAGAGTGGCTCTTCAGGTAGGCAGGTTCACAGTAAGTGAAATAAAGAAAGAGCACAGCCCTGTACAACATGGGCCCCAAGGGTCACCAGAGCCATAGCAGGGACAATCTATACACAGTGGGGCAAGGGGTGGGCCTTCCTGGCAGCCAGTTTACTGTTGACCTCGTGCAGAGTTCAGGACAGAGAGAGGCTTTGAGGGAATGGAGCTCTCAAGAGTACAGGACCCAACCCAAGAAAACATCTTGATGACAGGGACTGGATTGTGGGCTGGGTGGCATACAGAAAAACATGGGCTTCAAAGTCATGGGGTGTTGGTCATGGTACTTCACTAGAAAGGCAAGAAACGTGATGCCAAAGAAGCCGAAGTACACAGAGGAAAGCAGCATCCCAGGGCCCCTGTAAATGGTGCTTCTGGAAGTGTTTTAGCTTCTGAGCTTGAGGGGCTGCTGAGAAGTGAAGGTCAGAGGTCAGGAGAAAGTCGGCTGAATCACTGAGGGCAATGGTGTATTCTGTTAGGCCTTCAGGTGGGGCTCCTACCCCGTATGTGGCAGTTGGACATAGATGTGGTCACTTCTGACTTTTATAGGGGACGCCAGCGTTGGTCCCTAGCGAAAGGCTCATAAGCTTCCATGATACATGAGGATGATGGAGGTAAAAAGTTGGGCTCAATGTGTCTTGGGGTAACTGCCACCATTTTCTAATTACTCCCTAATGTGTCCCCAGAATGTCCCAAAGAGGGCAGCCTGGATTCCTACCTGATGGCTCCTTTCTTAGTGGGCAGAACGCAGTGAGTCCTGGACAGACCCTGGGATGGAATGGGAGGATATGCCTAGAGGGGCCAGTTAGCAGGACTGGCATAGACAGTTTAGGATAGAGGGTGTTACACTCTGGTTCAGTGGCAGATCATAAAAACCAGATTCTGATTTCATAGGTGTAAACCAAGGCCTGAAACTGTGGTAGCTGGTGCAGATTCTCCTTGGAGAATCACTTGTATTCAGGGGGGACCTCACCGCCTCCAATTAGTCTGGTACAAGCAACTGCTTCCCTCTTCTCCTGCCTCAAGTCACCCTGAAACAGGCACGGGTACACCTAGTGTACCTCAGCAGCACCTAGTGTACACATCTGCTGAGAGAGAGCTGTGCTTGGCAGGGGCCCTTAGGATGGGAATGAGCCCGTTAGCAGTGGGGAAGAAGGCATTTCTTGAGATCTGGCCATGCGGCTGCTGGCAAACCATTCTCAAAGTCTGGGACTGAGTTCTGGGCTGGCTGGTGTATAGAAACTGAAGTCTGGGACTGAGTTCTGGGCTGGCTGGCGTATAGAAACTGAAGTCTGGGACTGAGTTCTGGGCTGGCTGGCGTATAGAAACTGAAGTCTGGGACTGAGTTCTGGGCTGGCTGGCGTATAGAAACTGAAGTCTGGTCCTAGCCCAGCTACCACCCCTCTGAGTCTCGGATGTTCCACCTTAAAAGTAGAAGGTACGCTAATGGATCAGATGATGACAAGAGTTTGATTCCAAGCCCAGGAAAGCATCCTCGAGCAAATTTCTTAGATGCCGCACCATGTTCCTCTGTAAAATGGTATTTGCTGGTGTCCCTCTCATAGCATCGCTCTAAGGACTAAATGACCTAAAATATGCCAAGAGCTTAAGACAATACCTGGCATGCAGATGGCACTTCACAAATGATAACCCTGAATATAAACCACATCTCTCCGGCTTTGGGGCAGCCAGGCACCTCTGTGGTGGAGCACAAGCTGCCCCGACTCCCCCCCCAGACCCCCCCCAGTGCCGAGGACTCACCAGCACCCACGGTGGCAATGGCACTCTCCTGGCCGATGATGTGCTCCTTCAGCCGCTGTTCTAGTGGGAAGCGGCGCCGCTCTTCTGCCTCACGCTTCCTCTGCTTCTCCATGTACTGGGGAGAAAAAGCAAATGGTTCAGGGAGGCTGGCTTCAGCGCACAGGGGAAAACTAAAGAGGTTGGGGCTCCAGGGGTCCTGCTCTGGCTCATGGCCACTGAAGGCTGGTCAGATGATCCCTAGCCCACGGTTCAGGAGTGGCAGGGTCTACCCACAAATACTCCCTGGGAAGAGCCACTCTCCTCATGGTTTGACGGGGATAACAGCTTTCATCCATGCCTGTACTTTTCACTGAAAGTGCTACTGAAGTTTCTGAATGTCTGCAAGCCTATCCTGACTCCACAGAGTGCTTCCTAACACAGGTTCCAGCTGTTTCTGAATGTCTGTAAGCCGGTTCTGACTCCACAGAGTGCTTCCTAACACAGGTTCCAGCTGTTTCTGAATGTCTGCAAGCCTATCCTGACTCCACAGAGTGCTTCCTAACACAGGTTCCAGCTGTTTCTGAATGTCTGCAAGCCTATCCTGACTCCACAGAGTGCTTCCTAACACAGGTTCCAGCTGTTTCTGAATGTCTGCAAGCCTATCCTGACTCCACAGAGTGCTTCCTAACAAACACAGGTTCCAGCTGTTTCTGAATGTCTGCAAGCCTATCCTGAGTCCACAGAGTGCTTCCTAACACAGGTTCCAGCTGTTTCTGAATGTCTGTAAGCCGGTTCTGACTCCACAGAGTGCTTCCTAACACAGGTTCCAGCTGTTTCTGAATGTCTGTAAGCCTATCCTGACTCCACAGAGTGCTTCCTAACACAGGTTCCAGCTGTTTCTGAATGTCTGCAAGCCTATCCTGACTCCACAGAGTGCTTCCTAACACAGGTTCCAGCTGTTTCTGAATGTCTGTAAGCCTGTCCTGACTCCAGAGTGCTTCCTAACAAACACAGTTTCCAGCTGTTTCTGAATGTCTGTAAGCCTATCCTGACTCCACAGAGTGCTTCCTAACACAGGTTCCAGCTGTTTCTGACACGGACTCTGACCTAGCAGCAGCAAGTGGCGAGCATAAACATTAATGTAAGGGTAGATACAACAGGAGAATTAACAGCTAGATGGGACGGTGCAGACGTTCAGGAAAGGGGAAGATACGTAAATATGGACTGCTTGGGTGGGGGCTTTCAGGGACACAGTGCACTAGAAAAGGCTGGAGGACCGGTAACCAGGCAGAGGGTGCTGAGGGTGTGGGGCAGATCCTAAACTGAGAAGGAAATGCCAGGTCTTAAGCGGCCCTGATAATGTGGGCATCTTTCCTGGGAGAGAGCTGCCTAGGTAAGGCCCCGTCACAGAAGTTGTGGCTGCAAATGTTCTTGCGGGCAGAGTGGATGAAAAATACCTGCTGCTTGGGTAGTGTTTTCCTGTTATAGTAGTGACCTTGACAGAAGTTAAAAAAAATAAATAGCAAACAATCCAATTTTGGCTGTTGCTATCAGTCTGTAACTGAAAGCTCCCATCAGTCCTCGGTTTCATATGGAGCAATAATTCGGCGCCTATCCCAGTGGAGTGACGCTTGCCGGCTGGAATCCAGAGTGTCACTGTGCAGCTCCCTCAGGCGCCACATACATCACCTGGCTCTGCCAACTCCAGCCATATATCTGCCTCTTCCTCCTCCCTGCCCACAAGCCCATTCAGCACTCAGGCCCACTGGGCTGGGTGGTGCTGGTGACAAGACAGATACACTACACTCACTGGAATCGTGTCAACGCTGGACAGACCCTGAAGGAGCCTCAAGATGAACTTGGTTTGCCAGGATGACCCGGGCACACGTACACACTGCCATGTGCCAGGCACTGCACTCAGCACGTCATCCAGTGACTGTTTAGAGTCACCTTCCGTGTGAAGGTGGGCTCCTCTTCTGGCGTACAGAATGACCAAGCTTCTCTGTAGACAGACATGAACTCCAGTGAACTCAGCCATTAAAGAGCTAGTGACCTTGCTTGAGCTACCAGAGCTGGAGAGGGTGCTCACACCCACCCTGCAGGCAGCTTAAAGAGGAAATGAGATAAACACTCAGCAGAGCCAAGCATGCAGGAAATATGGCAGTCAGAGGGACTCAGATGTCTTCGAAGTACCTACCCTATGAAACATTTGAGCATATTTTTCTCTCTCCCTTCCTTTTCCTTCCAGGAGAGGGGATTGGGTCTTGATCATGCTAAGCAAGCACCTTAACCCTGAGCTATACGCCAGTCCTGGTCTTGCATAAATACTACTTTCCTTTACTCCATCTGGTAACTAACTGCCTAATCTGTTGTCTGTTTTTTGTTTTTGGCAAGGTGTGGGGTGGGAGTGGGGATCAAGTTCAGGATTCCTTTTAATTAATTCAGTCACAGGTAGAGGACCACAGCCGGAAGGAAGAGCTGCTCTGAACTAAGTGGAAGCTGGAACCAAGTCCATTTGGGTGTCCACTATCCGGGGAGCTCAGTCTGCAGGTGCTGGCTCCACATCGTCCACTTCTGAAGATTCTTTGACAACAAGAAGCCGCTTAACTGGCCACCAGTTTTCCTTACATGGCATGGAATTCGGTCTTTGTATATTTTCCATCTATGCAGCCTCATAGAACACAAATTCCCTTTGTGCCAGGCAATGCCTAATGAGACTTTTTATTCCAGTTTGGTGAGTGAGGTATGGCCATCGTGGTTCCCCAAGTATTCTTCCTACATGATAGGGTCATGATTTTATGTTGCTTTAGAAGTTCCTTTACCCCTTTGGATGTCAGTGTGGTGATTTCTCAGAAAATTAACTTTCCTCAAGACCCAGTAATACCACTTTTGGGTATATATCCAAAGGATGCTCAATCGTGCCACAAGGACATGTGCTCAACTATGTTCATAGCAGCTTTGTTTGTCATAGCCAGAACCTGGAAACAGCCTAAATGCCCCTTGACCAAAGAATGGATAAGGAAAATGTAGTACATTTATACAAGGGAGTATTACACAACAGAAAAAAATAACGACATCTTGAATTTTGCAGGAAAATGGATGGAGCTAGAAAACACCATTTTGAGTGAGGTAACCCAGACCCAGAAAGACAATTATCACATGCACTCACTTATAAGTGGTTTTTAAACATAAAGAAAACCAGCCTACAAATCACAATCCCAGAGACCCTAGATAACAATGAGGATCCTAAGAGAGATTTACATAGATCTAATCTACATGGGAAGTAGAAAGTAGAAAAAGACAAGATCTCCTGAGTAAATTGGGAGCATGGGGACCTTGGGAGAGGGTTGAAGGGGAGGGGAGTGGCAGGGAGGGGAGCAGAGAAAAAAAAATCAATAAAAAAAGTTCCTTTAATTTCTTGGACAAAGGGCAAGAACCTCTAATTACTATGGAAGTGAACATGGGGAACGGGTATGAATGACTGGTTGGTTTCTTGGGAGCTTCCTAGATAGTCTTGGAAAAGGTGCCAATGGAATTAACTCCTGGAACACACTAGAACCTCCCAAGTGTCAAGCCTCAAACAGCTATTTATTTAGAAAAATCTCTGAAAGTCTATCAGATTTATTTGATAAAAATGTACAGGAGGGCTGGCAAGATGGCTCACTAGCTTAAAGTGTTTGCTTTGCAGATCTGACCCCTGACTTCAACCCCCAGATCCTATGTGGGGGGACAGCACAACTTCTCAAAGTTGCTCTTTGACTTCCACACACGTGCATCATGGCATACACGGATCTGCATTTATATACATGTCTCATGTACATAACACACATAATAAAAATGTGCAGTATGCTGGGGGTTATATGAGGTCACATGTTACCGCTTTGTGTTGTTTCGCCAAGGTGTAGAAGCATTTGTACTACAGTGTACTAAATCACATTTTAATCTGTGCTGCTTTACACTGCTGGGGACAGAACACTGGGCCTTGTCCATTCTAGTAGGCATGGTCACTTTTTGAAGGCATCTGTTCTGAGACCAGCCTTGTGGAAAGTTAGCCAGCTGAAAAAAAAAAAAAAAAAAGAAACAAAAACTGAAGAAGGAAAGCACTTGATTTGCACTTGTTCCGACTGGGGGAAGGAAGCAGGAGAGGGGCTCCGAGAGCTCCATGGATGCAGGCTGTTGTGTCTGGCTCTTCTGAGGGCCCGTGGAACAAGGCTACAGGGCTGAGTTCGAGGGGCTCCACTTACCTAGAAGACGAGGCAAGAAAGGGGCCAAGGGAAGCAGAGGGTGCTGAGCTGAGGAGCTGCGAAGGGGCTGCCAGGAGAGCAGCTGTGGGGAGTGACCATTCTCTTAATAAAAGCCTGCTACAATTAACTTCAGACACTCTCACCTGGAGCTGGCATCCACCAGCTTCCCATGCTGCACCTTGGCTGGATAATCACAGCCCCTGGTTTCCATCAGTCTTGATTTAATATGGCACTCCTCCTGGCTATGAGTGCATTTACAGGAAAGGGCTGGAACCTAGCTAAGCTTGCTCTGCTCAGAGGTGAGCGGCACTGCAAGGGAGGGTTTTGGGGAGAAGGCGAATGACAAGCGTCTTGACTACTGGGCATGCCTTAGGGGACAGACTTGACAATGAAGCTGGAAAGAAAAGGGCAGCTGTGGTGCTGGTGAGAGGTGGGCAGAAACAGTCCCTGGACAAGAGTGAGCTTGTGAGGTGTACTGGAAGGAACAGAAGAGAGGCCAAGTTTGCAAGCTCCCTTGGAGAGATAGGGCAGCCAGAAAAGCTGGCTACTCCAATCCCCTCTGGAGCCTACACTTTCTACTTGGGGATGAGAGAAGCCCCTATCTCTACTGAGTTTAAGGTCTAGTTATGGAGACAAGACTTAAAAGGCAAATTTGCTCTCTTTGCTTCTACTACTGGATTACATAGTGAGTTTACTGAAAATAAATACCAGAGGGTGTTCTGTTCAGAAATATCTAACGAGTTGAATCAGCAGAACAGTAGAAAAACTCCAAATGAAGGACATTCTACAAAATAACCAAGCTGTACTGTGACAATGGCAAGCTCATCAACAAGAAGAGATTGAGAAAGCAGCCCCGTCAGAGCAGCATGATGACCACATACAATGTAAGGAC